AGGCTCTGATAGAATTTTTATTTTATATAGTTTTTATATATACTCGTATTTTTTTAAAAAAAAGTTTGTTATTGATCAGCATTATGTTACATCACTTAATTTTGATTTAATTAGGGCATCTCACACCCCAATCATTGATGATTGATGCAGTCTTGGTAAACTCCAGGCCACGCCTCCCCTCCAGGGATTCTGTTGCATCATCATATCATCGGGGGATCAAGTCAGATTAGCCTTATGTACACGAGGAAGATGTGAGAATAACTGTAAAGTGTTCAAGGTAGCATGCGTGCTTCAACATTTGCCAATTTCCAATAATCAAACATTGCATACTCAAAATGTCTCTTTTTCAACAGTGTGCTGCCTTGACATCTAATTATATAACAATATAATAGTAGTATTATTAATGATTACAAAAAGTAAAATATTATCAATGAAAATCTTGTAACTACCCAGCAATGATCTGCTCCGCGTTTTGATTTCCAATTAAAATATTTATAAACCAAAAAAGACAATACAAGTAAAAAATAGTACCCCTGGTTAATTATTAACATGTCTTCTTTAGGAGTCCCAACCAAACCAAACAACAACACTCACGTTTTGTTACCTTGGACTCTGTCAAAAAATAAATTGTTTTTCCAAAAAAGAAAAGAAAAAAATCAATTTGTGTCTGTCCTACCAAAAAAAAAAAAAACCAATAGGATAAATAATTAATGCGTACACATTGATCAAAACAAACCTTTTTTTTTTTTAAATAAAAATGCCCAAAGACAAAGTAGCAAGAAGCAGAAGAAACAAACAAGATAATATTAAAGGCTCTTTCGGGTAAGTGTTTTTAAGGATGATGGTGGTTGTTGTTGTCTGCCACTTGTCGTCACTCTAGTTGATATTTAATATCACATGTAATATTAATTGTATTCTTCTTGAATTAAAATAAATAAAAATTACTTATCTCTTTGTTGTTTTTTAATCCATTCCTTGAATATAAACATTTTTAATTCTTAGATTTGTGAAAAATAAAATTGATAAATTGCATCACCCAAGTAATGATAATACCGAGATCATGCAGAAATGAAAATTTTGAGGAACTGATATTGAAGAAGACCATATGACAATATGTGTCTATTCGGGCCACAAAAATAAATAAATGATTCTATTTCAAAAATCATTTTCTTTTGTTCCTTAACCATTTATATAAATCTGATATTGATCATAAGTGTGTCAGATTTAACAAAATTTTCTTATCACCAACATGCAATTGCATCCTTCATGGCTGTGAATTTTTCCACAGGTGAAGAAATTCGGACAAGTTGGAAGGCTTTGGACAAGCAAGAGGCTTTAAAAACCTTCTTGACAATGATGCAACTTCAAATAATTCCAAGACCACGTACCCTCCTGAAAATTAATTGCATCAATGTATCTCAGGGCAAACTGATCATATTAGCCTTATGTACACAAAAAAGATGAAGATGATTGTAATATTTGAAGTAATATCTAAAGATCTAATGTTTCATTATTAAAATTTTCTGAATCACCTCTAGAATAGTTGTGTTGCTTTATCCTTGATATTTCTTATAACTACTTAATATTAATAATGATATACAAAACAAATGTACTAATTGTTAATAAATTTTGATTTTACCTCACTATAATAATACCAATAAATAAATATTAATTCAAAAAAAAAAAAAAAAAACTCCAACTACTATATACCATATAACATATCTTCTTCAGAGTCAAATAACCACCTAAATGTGTTTATTCGTTCTTTTAGATCATAAAAATATATAATCTTCTAGTTTTTTTTTTTTAAAAAAAAAAATAAAAAAAAAAAGGAAATCAGGGTTTCTTGTACAATGTACACGATTTCAAAGAAATTTTTTCGTGTTTGTTAAAATTTAGCGAGTTCCAACTGTAATTAAAAAAGATCAAAAACAAACACCTTTGCGCATTTAAAAAAAATAAATAAATAAAATGTCTACTATACCGTTAAACGAACATAGAAAAAATAAAAAAACGTCAAGAAGTAAAGCATACGGGTAAATATTATCATAGTATCATAGCTGTTATTTCGTTTAGTTCAAGCTCTAGTTAACGGTTAAAAATTTTGTTTTTTATATTTACTTAGACAAGCCGAACATTCAAGCTATACGCACATTAATGTAAATAAATTAATTATATATTTTTTTCAAAAGGTAAAAGTTACTTTATACGATTTAAAATAATATCAATCTAATTTCCAGGATGAGGTCGTTACAGCTAGGAATTCAGCGTTGAAAAAACTAGCGGAACTAAATAATATTGATCACATTGATGACGATTTTATTGAAGAAATATCAAAAGAGCAAAAAGAAAGCGTAGACAAGATCGATCTAGCTCTGATGGAAATAGAAAGTTTCATTAAAGATAACACGAACGAGGATACCAATTATATTGACAATTTCAATGATCATAATAGTAATAGTAATGATTTAATAATTGGTAAGTTTATTTGTTGGCAAGTACATTCAAGATTGGAAAAATAACTTATGATTATATCAATTATGAAAATTGAAAATTAAGATAAC